TTATTTCAAGTATACTACGTAATTGAGTGGCGCCAAAGGACTGTTTAAATGCCCAGCATTCGGCGCCACTCGATGACGTAGTATACTTGAAAGAGTAGAGGTTTCTCAATACTCTAATTTCCCTTCCTCGACTCCTCGGTCCTCCGGTTGTGACCCGGAAATGGATTTAAGCGTGCCATGTGAAGGACATCTCATTTCTCTAAATGCACATCGAGGACCGAGCATCGAGCATCGAGGAGGCTCTCTGGAGGAGCTCTAACCGAGGAGATACTGATGGGTCCTCCACGGCTCCTCCGCGGATGCATTTCCGGGAATGGTGGAGGCATTACGCATGGCCGGACTTATTTCAGCCAATAACAGCTCTGCATGCATCCCCTGGATATTATTTTAGTAACTGCTTGAACGGCGACGCGATGTTTACAGTGAGAACAGCTGTGAGGTCCGTGCAGAAAGCAGAGCAGTGTGTAAAATATATATCACTCAGTATAACAGGCCTACATTACTCTCTGTATTTGTATGCTGTAGTTTAATAGATATCTACAAACAAAGAGTCGATATTTTTCGAAGACCGTTTAGTGCTTGGCCCGTAATTTCAATTCCCCATTTCAGCGACCAGAGAGAGGGGGGGATATATCCCGTCTCTGATTGTGTTACGTTATTATGAGAGTGCTCTCATACTTGTTTGATTCTGAAATTGTATATATTTATATAAATATATGTTTGTGTATATGTCCGCATCTTTAGCCTGTTATTGTCTCATTATACCACACTGTGAATGAATCAAAGTAAATATATAAGTCCTCATGAACACAGTTCTTTCCATCAGACAGAGTGCTGCTGTGCCTCCTGTCATCATTAATGGACGTCTCTTTAAAATGACCGCTCAGAGGAGAGTTCTCATTTCTCTAACCGCCTGCTGCTTCCCCTCTCCTCGCTTCCCCTCCTCAGTCCTCCGCTCGCATCTCCTGTGGGCGGGACTAAGTCTCGAAGATAGGAGTCGAGGAGGGGAAATTGAGTATTGAGAAACCTCTCGTGGCTCTGCAGCTTTTTTTTCAACATTGAGAAACGGCCAGGAGCTAGAAGACCTGACCCGACTACTTATTTTAAATCAGCTGTGTGGGAACATTTCGGGTGGTGGATCGGACGAGGACGGTGTGCCGGCGTTGTTCGACAGCGGTGCGGTATGCTAATGGTAACACACGCCAAACATGCTAAATCATATCAGAAGGCATCACCCAGATTTGGCAATCACCGGAGCCCGGCAAAAGACAGCAGCAGTTCAACAGCTTATCCCTGCTGTTTTTAAGAAGCCAATAGACATGAAAGCCGAGAGACCAAAATAAATACCGAACCGTGACCCCCAAACCGAGGTGCATACCGAACCGTGAATGCTGTGAACCGTTACACCCCTAATTAATGTAAAAAATATTTAATTGAGTTAGACATTTTAGTTTTGCTTCGGCTAAGATTCTTTAGTTCCCTCTGCTGTTTTATTTTATTTTGTGGACAGTTTAGCCCTCATGATTCCAAAGTGTTGTGCTTCCCACAAATATAAAAATGAATGTTCAAAAATTATTTTTGTTTACTAATGAAAGCAAATGTTTATTTCTCACATCTGACATTAGATGTACTGCACTTCTTTCTGCAGATTGATATGACTGCACATAGTCCCTTGATCCTCCATAGCAACGGTCTGTTCACTTTAGCAGCATTCTGTTTTAACAACACAACCTTTGAGATGTCCAAATTGACCAAGCAGAATCAAGTATTCAACTAAGCCGTATAATAATGAACACACACACGCACACACGCACGCACACACACACACACACACACACACACAAGCAGCAGCGGCGCAGAGCATGGGATGAGGTACATCAGTATTCTTCTACCTGAGACGGAGACAAAGACAGATTAAGAGCCAGTTGCTGAAAGGGATCAAGTTTATATTGTATTTAATCCTGTGCATTTAACTAGGCTTTAATACATCAGGTATTCAAATAAAAAGTGACAGAATGATGAAATGTAGGATCCTAAGTACTGCAGTGATCCCACCTTGTGTTTAACAATGTTTGTCTTTTCTGTTTTTCCTGTCATTTCTGCTGAAAATCACATCCCTCATGTCTTAAGTAAAAAAAAGCACTTACATTTGTGGAGGATATTTGGAATGAAAAGGATGAATATTAAAATATCACTAGATACTTTCAGCACTTTTTAGATCTTAAAAACTGTTATACACATTTAACTTTGGTTTGACTTTATGCTAGACACTCCTTTCCATGTTCAAAAGATTCACATTACAGTGAACACATTATTGATGGTTTCTTGTGTGTGTACAAACAAGGTCCATGCCTCTACTGGGACATGTCTCCAATCTTTAATGTTCAAAAAGCTCTTTATTTTCCTCATACTGCCTGTGCTGCAGCACCTCTTTTCACCCTCTGTCTGAAACCAGAGCCCAATCTGCTCTGATTGGTTAGCTGGCCGGCTCTGTTATGATTGTTGAGAGATGTCCCGCCCCTTAGCATCACGTACAATGTGTTGGAGCGATAGCGAATAAGTGTTGCATAGTGCTGAATAAAACAAAGGGGTCAAATGTATGCATTTCAGGGGAGGGGATGCAGAACTTTGTGATTTCAGCCTTTGAAGACCATTTACATGCTCAAAAAGCTAAATGACATCCTACAAGAAAGGGAAAAGCCCAAAAAGTATAATAAGGCCTCTTTAAGTGGCTTTGGACACATGAATCTGCCAAAAATAATGTAATGTAATTAGAGGTTGATGTGAGAATCTTCTAAAGACACGTATTAAATAAGCAAAGAAATCTTCCCTGGTAATTGTATCAAAGAGCTTCGTAAAACATGTTTTAAAACAATGAGGAAAAACCCTTCTTAAATATGAGACATCAGTGGCATAGTGACCATCGCTCACTTTAATAAAAGCAGAGTTGTTTTCAGTTGGACCAAACATCTCTACAACTTTTCTCTGTCTCTCGTTCACCTCGCAGCATCAATTCCTCATTCCTCCTCACCTCTCTCTCACACTGCAGCCCTCCTGCAGCTCTCACTCCCCGGACTAATCTCCGCCGGTTCAATGTTGTTCAATTAGATTCCAGTTGACATGCATTGGAAGTAGGCACTCCTCCTCGTAATTCAGCCCTCTTTACAGCCAATCTATTTTTTAATAAAGGTTCAGAGGAAAACATTAAAGTATTGATCTTTATTTATCGACCTCCGCCCAAAGCATAGTTAAAGCTGACACAAATCAATCAAAAATACATTTAAAATGATGATAGCACATAGGAGGAGCCTGGCCTCCTGTTTCAGGCAGTCATTAGGGGGCTAGGCAGAGGGAACCCAAGGCAATAAGAGTAACAGTAACACACACACACACACACACACACACACACACACACACACACACACACACACACACACACACACACACACACACACAA